GATGACGTCATCCGTGACCTGGATGACATTGATAGAGGTCACGGTGACCTTCACTTGACCTGGATGACATTGGTAGAGGTCACGGTGACCGTCATTTGACCTCTGCATATGGGAGGAGGCATTCGACATTGAATGACCTTGAAGTTACGTCATGACAGTTGGTGACCTTCAAATATCTTATCAATTACCTTGACTGTCCTCTGTAATTGCCATACATAGAAATGATGAATGAATTGAGTTGAAATTGGAATGACGTGTTCGAATTGTAGTGGGGGATTTTCCATATAAGAGAGTAGATCGCCCTAGAGAGACACATTTCGTTCAGTGTCAAACCTAGATAGTTATTGTCTACAGTAGTGTAAATTTTTGTGTTTTGTGATTATATTTTTTTGAAGTGAGAACAATTATTATATTTATTGCTAACTAGATATTACAAGGAATTACTTTTAAGCAGAAAATGGCATTATCAAACGATGATTTAAATAAAATTAATAATAATATTAACGGTGATTTTATTGATATTGTTCGAAGATCAATCTCCTCTTTGGAAGTTGATACACCATATGTGATTAAAAAATTGTCTTTTACCATTACGCGTTTTGGAAAGTGCATTTTGGCAATACTGTTCGATAAGAAGAGTAACTTGTACTTCAAATGTTTTTTACCAAAGAGGGTTACAGAACACATAACAGAAGATATTTTGAATAAAATTAATTCTTCTTTGGAACAGTATACAATAACCTATTTAGGCCAAAGCGAGCCTGCCTTAAAAGAATCTAAATGTAAAGCATTAATAAAATTTGGTATTGTCAATTAATTTTATCATTACATCTAATAGCAATAAATATATTTTATAGAGTATATCTTAGATAGTACATATTTACACTATTTAGTCAGTACCATATAAGGTTGTTTTTCTTGTTTTAAAGTTTAGTAGGTAATGAATAATTATTATATTATTATAATGTCAGTTTTAATCATAATATTTCTTTTTTTTTATAGTCGGCGTACACACAATAACGTCGTCCAAATAAACGAACACGTATTGCTCAAGGTCAACACCTATGACTTGATCGATAAGTCGTTGCCAGACTGCAGGAGCTGAATGGATTCCAAATGGCATCCTTTTGAATTGGAAAAGACCGCGGGACGGAACGGTAAATGCAGTTAAAGGACGAGAATCCTTAGCGACCTTAATCTGCCAATATGCAGACTTTATGTCGAGCGTTGTTAAATAACGCGCATCACGTAGTTTATCTAGCGTACGAGAAACAAACGGCAACGGATAGGCGTCTGGTAAGCTGACTTTATTCAGTGCGCGGTAGTCCACACAAAATCGCCAACGTCCATCAGGCTTTTTGACCATGATAATGGGAGATGACCATGGACTGTTCGAAGGCTCGATAATGTCTTCCGCGAGCATTTTCCCAAGTTCCGCGTTCGCGTCTTTTTGGAGCGCCGGCGAGATAGGATAGTACCGCTGTTTTATGGGAGAGGCATTTGTACGAATTGTCAATTCCACAAGGTCTGTACACCCTAATTTATCTCCCATCTTAGAAAAAGCGTCATCTATTATGTCAGTAAGAATTTTATGCTGTTCGTCCGTCAGAGAATCCATAGATCGGATAGCAGCTATCTCGCGACCTGTCATCTGTTCGTTTGATCGAAAAGACCATTCATTCGTGAATAAATCGGGAATTATTTTCATCGCGGACCAGAAATCAACTCCAAGAATAAGTTCATGAGGAATGGAGGGGATTACTAACACGTTGAGAGTTTTAACGCGGTCACGTAATTGAATTGGTAACCGAACCCATCCAATGCTTTCGCAAGTTTCACCGTTAACGACGGAACACGAGCGAGTTTCCTTAGAAGACAAAACACATAAACCTCTTAAAGTTTTCCATGCTAAAGCACCTATAACGGTGGTGGTACAGCCACTATCGAGAAGTCCCAAGAAAGTTTTCCCGAAAATAGTAACATTAAGGTAGGGCCTTTTGTCATCTTTTGCATGGGCGAACACATTGTAACAATTTTTCAACAAGTCCGCTAGTAGAATCCTATAGTCGCCGATAAAATAAATTTGCGTTCGATACTCTTAACGACCTCTGTTGAATACACGGAGTAATAACCTTTTTTTTTGTGAAAAACACTAAAACTTTTATCGCGCCGNTTTCAGAAAAATATGTTCTTTGCGTATCATCGTCGAAATGAACATTGCACGATGATCGTCTATCAGTATTCGGATGCTGAGTCAACTGGTGAGGAAGATTCGGTTGTGAAATGTTTCTTGGTAAGGGAGAAGATTGTATTGCCGCAGACGTAGACGCTCGGGATCGTTGTTCGCGCTCGAGATCGAGAAACTGCGTCTCGTTTCGCGAGATTTCAACACCAAGTTCTGGTAACAGAATGTTTTCATTACGACCATGCGCTTGAGTACCAGCTGGTTGCGAAATGTTTAATCGCGAATGAACAATTTCAGGTATTAACGGGTTTGCCGTATCCAAAATGGATACTTGAGCCTGGAGCTGGTTAGCGTTCAATGCGACCTCTGGATTTTGGTTTTCTACTGGAGGCTCATTATCATACATCACATGTAATTCATCTCTGAGTTGTACTGCCTTTTGGATTAATTGTGTAAGTCGACGACGTTGATCATCATTTTCTGAACATATACGACCTAATCTAAGTATTACGTGGCGCAATCTCGAGTATAACCGCTCAAATTCATTTTTTCGATTATCAAAATCAAAAGCTCCAATTTCTCCTTCTAAGTTCGTTAACTTTAAACCGCAAATACTGAGCTCTTCCGATGCTGCAAGGGTTGTTGAAGTTGGCACAGTAGCTCGACCTTCACGTTCTTCGCGAAGCGCATACCGAAGAAGAGTGCGTTTTTGTTGCACGTTGCCTTCCATTTGGCAACCGCGAATCTGTAGTTCATACGACAATTCATCTGATGAGAGTCTATTGACTTCCATATTGAACGAGAATTATATGCAAAGTCTCTATAGTTGAGTTAAAATCCGACAGAAAAAACTTGTCCTAATGTAATGTTCACAAGCCCAATCTGTGCTAATGAGAAAAAAGAAAACGAGAAAAAGAAAAAAAAATGCGACCGTATATCCTAATGACTTAATTTTCTAATACTAAGTCTAAATACCCAAGTACCAATACACGGAAACACCCTGTATAACAACGTATACCAGCATGAACTATTATTATTTCTTAATTAACTAATTACGTACTAAAACAATTACCTTAAAACGATGAAAATAGGAAAAATCTATTCTAATACTATCCCAAATAAAGTACTTATTCACCACCTTTTGTATATCAATTCCAGTATATTTCAATACCAACAATGTCGAAAGGCTACTATTGGACTCTTGGACTCTTGGACCAAAAAAAAATTACAAAAGCGAAGTAGTTACTGCAGCACACTTTGACTACCCTTTATTTTTCTTTTATCGCCCTGTATTAATAATATCTACCGTTTGTTGTAAATAAAATGCCGATTCTTTTTAATTTGGTATACCACCAAAGTATAACCATATAATATGTTTTAGACAAGACTCAATTTATTGATTCACCCTGTATCTAATAATGTAATACCGCGCAATACCTTCCGCTGTAAAAAAAATGTAAACACAAGTGCTTGGCTTCTATCAAAATCTTGAAGACTTTTACCTGAAATTTAGCCAACACAAAATTTTTGTATCAAAGATGTATTATTTGATCCACCCTATATAATTATAATAACATTTACTTTATTAAGGAAGAGGGTAAGAGCGGATTGTGTAATGGGTTAAACTATAAAGTTCGTATCTGATGTAAAATTTAAAAAACAATTTTAAACTTGATCTACCCTGTATGATATGAGTTTACCACTCTTAGACCTAGTGTCTGGTAAAGGTTTAACATCTAAATAATTGGTTTTCAATTAAAGTAAAATTTAACAAATGTGAACTATGAAGTGTCACCGATATCTTGTTGTACCCTGTATATAGGAGCATAAAAAAATATATATTTTGAATCAAAATTAAATAACACGTTGGGCGTCAAATTTGTGACGGTGTTTGGGGAAACCGCCACAAAACTGGGGGTAGTTCCAAAATTTTGGGTGGCTATAGTGGACGAAGGGGACGGATAATATCCACAATAGGGGTTGGCAGCTAGCTTCAGTGGAGACGGGCTGGGTAAAAAGCATAAAATCAAAAATTTTAAAGGCGCCACCCGTTTTTGCAACCCCGGATGTTACTTCTACCCTATAAGATGGTGGATTTTATTCGCCACAGTGCCTTCGTTGTTACTATACAAAAAAACGGGAAAAAGGCAGGTCCACTAAAAATGATACCAAATACTTCTGAACTAGGTGTATATTACTATAAAATGTTATAATTGTCAGGGTATGACAAGTGATCGGTTCACTTCCTGCACCAGTGGAACGCACCTGATGCCTAGCGGGTATATGTTACTGTTCAGTGTTCACTGGCTGATGACTGACCGCCGAGTCAACCGTGTTTTGTGGCCGATGGCCGAGTAGGTTAACTGCGAGAATGAAATCTACTATTTGTTGTTCTATGGTTGACTGTCAAAAGCGTCAAATTTGGGTTATGATATATTGCATAACGCAAAATACCCAACAAAACTAGATAAAAGTATTATAGAGTATACAATGAAATATCGGGTAAATAACCAACCGAATGGTACCTTTACTACAGCGCTGTATTACAGGCTTACACAGGTAACCCCCCACGATTTGTGAATATAACATATAACAAGTAATGACATCTGAAAGGTTACTTATAATCTAAATTGTTTTCAGGAATGCCTTGTTGGGTTGTACATAACTCGAAAGAAGTGTGGCACCCTAAGCCAATTTATACTACAAGAGTGAGGCTCTTGACGAAAGTATACAAACAAAGCAAACATAAGCAGATCTTAAAACTACATTCTAACATGCTAAATCTTATAGCTAGTCTTATCTGTGAGAGTGGTGTGTAGCACAGTTGCCCAGGTCGAATTCCTCTGGAGCGATAAAGTTCTATCTGGGTGAAACGGAGAGTCAAGCGGTACATGCACCAATCACTAGGCCTGGGAGGGTGCAGGGTGCAAAGCGGCGTGCAGCAAAGTGTATGGCCAGCACAAAATACTCGCACTTTTGTCATGCATACCATGCAGCAAGCAGTAGTGAAGCGGGTTGGTAGTGTGGCAAGAAGGTTGCGATAGTTTTTAAGTCGGTGTATGAAGGAGGAGAATAAGCAGGATAGAGAAGACACAAAAAAAAGGCCTAAAAGGAAAAGTAAATGCTACAAATGTCTACTAGTGTGTACTAAATTAATAAAGCGAGTGGTAAAGCTCAAGCACATGTTTTTCCTAACCTAAAGTAGGTACATACCTTTGTTGTAGGTCGGCCTTAAAAGTGAAATATTTAAAATTATCTTTTATGGGCACTTAGATCCAACTATCTCTGTTGCGAAAATTGCCAAAACTCTAATTTTGCCCAATAAATAATCTTTAAAGATCCGCAAAATTTGCGCGAGGCCCAAGCATGGCCAGGAGTATATAAAAAAGAGGTTTTTTTTTTATTTCAAAAATTTCTTTAACTCCCTACTTTAGGGGAATTTTTCCTTTGGCTAACCTGCTAAGCTTGCCATGACACAGACCATAGAAAACGACAGAAAGAATACAAATCATGATAATGGTTCAGGTTAACAGTATTTTGAACCCTCACCTCTATCAACCTAAAATGAGACTGTTACACCATATACGGGATTTCCGCTTCCCTTTTGATGTGTGCCGACTCAACGGAACTGATTTATTAACTCGCTAACTGCTAACTCGATGATTTCTCGGAATGTTACAGATTTTTGTTCCTCCATTAACCGACACTACCTACCTCATATCCCATAATAAATGTATCCCGCAACACCAATTTTAGTTGATCTTGTGAAAAATCACGGTTGAAGCCAAATTCCTTAACCTTGCTGCCCATTTCTTTGTAGATTCATTGGAAGCCTTATTTGCATTGTAAAACTTATATCTGCTTGCAAAAATTGAAACTGATGGTTTAAAGTGTTAATTAATTTTATTAGGTCGTCATAACTTTTACTTTCTGGTTTCCCTGGCAAGCACAAACTATGAACTAACTGATAAGCATCTTCACTTAATAAATCGGTACCGTTTTTTCGTGCTTTATCAGTAATATCATTTGCCAAAATGAAGTTTTCCAATATTAGTTTATATATACTACAATCCGAATTTAACGGATCGAACTCGCAAAGATGACCCACGTTTTTAGTCGCCATTTTTTGTTCAGCAACACTCATAAAATTATCTCACGAACTTTTGTGTTTATCCGAGTTTATTATGAAACTCACACCGACTGCGCCACTACACTAATGTATATATTATATTTTTATTATCTCAATCACCTTCATGCATAATGTAAATGTAATGTTACAAGGTTAATATCAATTTACGACATTGTAAACGATAATATATCCCTGTCCCTAGATATCCCTTGCGGTCGATAGCCGCACGGTTTAAGGCGTCAGTACTTAAATCGATGTGTGCTATCTGCCCGGGTTTCGAATCCCGCGGCCGGTAGACCGTAGATTAGCTATGCTTGTACGGAGGATTGGCACCCTCTGTGCAGGTATGGTAGGGTGGAAGAATGTTGGCTTGGGTCAATGTGAGAGATTGACACCGGTTGACATTTGACCCCCCCCCCCCCTAATTAATGAGGTTTTCCAGGTTTCCCTCATTCCTGCACTGAATGGTGGTTAGGGCCTACCAACATAAGTCGTTCCTGGGCGCAAATGCGGCCTGCTTAATAATAATATGCCGCCTCCTCTCCCGCACAAGTCTCCGACTTCTGGGCTAATTCTCGTAGTTAGAATGAGGAGTAGAGATATTATTATTATATAAATTCATACGAGATCTCTAATCGTCAATACTAATAGTTAAAACTTGTACTGAGCATATAAAGCCATAAATAAAGTGTTACCATAAACAAATAAATTTGTTAAATTATCTCAACCCTCGATGCAGTCACAATTTGCAACTTTATCTGTTGCAGTCTTGGCGTAGTCAGAAGAATATTTGGAAGTAAGAGATTGTCCAGTGTAAAGAAACTTCAAGTACTATTGACTCTCAAGTTTTCAGCACTACCTAAAACACTTTGAAAAGAACAACAAGATCTACACATTTCTCTGTTCAAGAGACCAACTGATTTAGTGAGTATGTGAGTCGTTCTTTGTTCTTATTCCTTGAATTAATACTGCTTTCAAGTTCTTGTACGATAAAATTTCAATTGTACTCCTAGAAACTTTGACTGTAAATCAAGTTCTAGTTAGGTTAGTAACAGATGGTTACCCATCGCTTTTAAATGATTTTTGCGAAGCATGTGATGGATTAATCACGAATTTTTCAGTTCAATCTTTAGAAGTAAAAAGAACATTAATATCCGTACGCATAGTCCATCGCCAGCGACTCGCCAGAGATTCGCCGTTAGCTGGACGAGATTTCTAATGCACAGTCCACGATACATAAAAAGTGCACAGTCCTTCGCCAGCTAAATCAAGCATGCGCATTAGTGAAACTTTTGGCGAAGCGCCGGAGAATCGCCGGATATTGCCAGAAGCATCTCCAGCGTTTCTGCAGAAAGCAACTAACTTTATTTTTATTGTGTTTTTGAGATTATTCCAATAATCGATCGTGATCTTAACATGCTGTATAACGCACACCGAAATATTTTTGATCTAGATATACGTATACTACGTCGGTAAGTAATTAATTAATATACATTCAAGAAGAAAATAATACTGTTAATTATTACAGATATGTCAGAGATATGGAAAACCCTATGGAAAAATTCAATAACGTTGAATTTAAAAACGCTTTCGGTTTAGAATGTAACGTTCAATTACCAGTTAACGATAGAGGCACAAGAAAATTAATAAATTAAGTAAATATGGTCGCCACTGTATATGCGACTCTTAATACTTTGTGAAAATTAAAGGCAGTAACACTGGTTACATATCTAAATAGATTTTATTTAGTTGAAAATTTTTACATACAGAAAAATAAACATAAATCATGTAAAAATATGGGCAAATATGCGTGCGTATGAGAAAATATTTATAAGTATTAATTTATCGCGTCCTATATTTACGTAATCTCCCTTGAACTCCTTAAATTCATGAAAAAGGCACAGATGAGATATCTAGTGATAGTAAACAAAGATTACGTTAAATAATTAAAACAGTAATCGTATTTTTGTTCTTTGTGTTTAATTTTAGTAATGCAGAGTACCTGATTGTTATTTATTTAAAAATATTATTGTTAAAAATGAAAGGCAGAAGAACGTTGGCTGGATAGAATACAAAAAATGTTAAAGCTTTTTGCGCGAGTTAGGCGAGCGTATGCAGAAGAGATAGATAGCGATTAGCGTGCGGGAATTCCGACGAATATTACACATATTAAGGTCTCAGAAAAACTAGGGTCTTAAGATATACGTACGAAACTGTTAATAAGAGTTTCTATCCAACGTTGTACATAGGCGTTTCTCGAAATTCCTCCCTGATACTGTTGCTAATGCTATTGCTGTTCCTGTTGATGTTGAGCAATAAATGAGTCTGAAAAATTAAAGAAGAAAATTATGTCACATGGATAGCGGAGTCTTTTGCCTTCCTATACTTACCTGACACGATACCTATAGAAAGAGTAGCCGTGTAGCCGCTGCACGTGAGGCACTTTGTGGGCTGTCTTGATTACGTGATCCTGAGGTTGTGAGTATGTTTTCATTTGTTATAAGATTTGGCTGTCTTGTGTAAACCTTAAAGAAGTGGTGGAGAGCCGTTATCGTCGACCAGTTTGCCTCGAAAATTTTTGATTTTCTCTACTGCAAGTTCTACAATTTTTTAATAATCTATTTTTCACAAATATTTATTAGAGAACAAAAATATATGAACAATTTATTTGCCTAATTATAATAATATTTATTGGTCTGAGATGGTAATTAATATATGCCATTTTGGCTTTTGGTGTCAATAAAATTATATTACGTATAATAGATAATTAGTAGAGTTTGTAAACCGACAAAAATTAGCTGCCGCGCAGTGTGTTAAGAGCAATTGAACACTCTATTGACTGAATTTTAGATATCATTATCATTCAGTTATTAGATTAACACACTTAAAAACCAACTAATATGGTTATAAGAAAAGAAGTAGTTCGTGATAATTTATTACAGATGATAGTAGATCCGGAACCAATTAACAATAGAGGGTTACCTATTCTTTCTTTAATCGGTTTACTTTTAACATTGCGTTTTTACGCAACTGGCAAGTTTTCATATACCTATTTATTTTTTTTATATTCATATATTTTTTCATATAATGCAAATCCTGTGGATGACAATGTATAAATATACCCTTTACAGTTATATCTTGAGTACCTACCTATTATAATTATATGTAGATAGTTTGTGGATACTTAAGAGAATGCAATCAGGCCACGGTTAGTCGTGTAATTACAAAAACTACTCGAGTAATTGCAGCACAAAGTCGAAATTATATAAAATTTCCGGAAGAAAATCTACAACAAATTCACAGGCAGTTTGGTAGAATAGCAAATTTTCCCATTGTCACAGGTTGCATCGACTGTAATCATATTCCTATTACTAACCCTGGAGGACCTCATGCAGAACTATTCTGCAACAGAAAAATAATATTTTCAATTAATGTACAAGTGACTTGTGGGTCTTATTTATAAACATATGACATTGTTGCTCGATATCCAGGTAGTTATCACGATAGTCATATTTTTAATAGAATTTCTGTAAAAGGAAAATTTGAACGAAGGGAAATTCCTGAATATTTACTTGGTGATGCTGGATACCCCTTTTTTCCGTACCTATTAACACCATTTCGATAAGTTTGCACTCCAAGTGAGATGCGATATAATCGAGCGCACATACGAACACGGAATACGGTAGATAGAGCATTTGGTGTTTTAAAGCGTGTATTTCCTTGTTTAGCTCGTGGACTGGGTAATAGGATATCTACGTCTTACCATAGTATTGTTCTTGTGCGGTTCTTCACAATATCGCAATTGATCAACATGAAATTGTAGAAAATGTCGCCCAGACATTTGAGGTTTTGGTAATATTATGAGAGTAAATGTAGTTCGTAATTATTTTGATTGAAATAAGTTTGTATTTGTCGGTTATTTATTTAATGGAATGTTTTGTTACTTTTTCCTGCATTGTAATTATTATTGTACTAGGTATTATACTTGTCCTATAATTTAGCATTAGTCTGTAGGATATTGTATATAATAGTTATGATGTTAATTTTTT